GCTGGGCGATCGTGGCATCAAAGTCAGCCTGGCGCGCGTTGCGTGCGATCTTCTCGGCCACGGCCACGCAGATCCCCACGTCGGCCGCCAGCGAGGTAAACGACAGAATCCCCTGGAAGACGGCCGTCCGACGTTACGCGAGTGACGTGGTACGTCTTATCTATCGTCACGCAGACGTCGTCACTGTCGCCGCCGGCTCACATCGCCGCGCTGTCAGCAACATAAAAGACAGGCGGTGGTTCATAAGGCTCCGCACAATATCACGCATCGGATGATACATTTGTCGTCACGCGTATCACGTTGGACGCCGGCCGGGCGACAAGAGGGATCCCGGACGCGGGCGGACTCCCGGGCCGACGCCGGCCGGGTGACAGGAGGGAGTCCGGACACGAGGCCTCCCGGGCCGACGCTGGCCGGGTGACAGGAGGGAGTCCAGGACGAGGGCGGACTCCCGGCCGACGCCGGGCCAGATGACAGGAGTAAGTCCGGACACGAGGCCTCCCGGGCCGGCGCTGGCCGGGGTGACAGGAGGGAGTCTGGACACGGACAGACGCCCGGGCCGACGCCGTCGCGCCGCCAGCCGGCGTGCCGCTGGCCGGCGGATCGCGTGACGAGCAGAGCGTGAGTGGGCGCCGGGCGGCCAGCGGAGCGTTTGAGGGCCGGACTGGCGGCGAGATAGGGCGCTCCAGCCGGCCGGCGACGCCCGCCTGGCCGCGGCCGCGCCGTTCACACAGACTGGGCCGCTGATGGATGACCGCCGGCCGCTGACGCAACAGAGGGGCCGCCCGGCGACATCTCACACCGTCGCCCGCCCGCTGGCACGTGAAATGAGCCACGCCGCCGTTCACGGCCGGGGACCGGTCTGGGAGAGAACACTGGCAACGGCGGCCGGCAGGGTGGCGGGGACTCGCTGATCACTTTCTCAGATTGACGGGGGTGATCGCGAGTTCATGGACTTCCTGAGCTTGGCGTCGCATGCAGCAAAGCGGGTTGATGTTGGATAGACTGCGATGCGTACAACTCAGGCTATCTACGGCCCTAACTGCTCTTCAAAGCGCGGTCGTTGATTCAGAAGTCTCGTTATCACCGTCAGGAAATGTTTCGACGGTGCGTCAGTCGATGACCATCTATGCCGTCGGTCGGCAGCCACTAATTATGACCAAGCCAGCCAGAGTGTAGCACAGCTCGGCACGGGGCTCGTGCTGCTCCCACTGCCGGTGTAACGACTGAGCGCGCCTCGTAGAAATGCGCCTCGGGCAATGATTCGGCGAGTCTGACCGGCCGATGAAATGGCTCCCCGATGACACTCCACTCGCCTCTACGCACCGTCCGGCAATTGGACGCGCATAGCACTCAGGCATTGGTATCTCTGCCATCTGAATTGCCTGTCAAATGGCACGAGATATAAGCACCGTCTTGCCATAGCATATCGATGAATTATGACGCTTATTCGCCCGGGCACCGCTAACTCTTTCGACGCGGCTCTCCTCATCCTCTCACCACCTCGCTGCGGTCCTGCTCATCCCCCTTCCAGGATTTTGCTCACCCTCGCGCCGTGAGCCTTCTCAGCACCGCGCCGCGATCTCGCACGTCCTTTCACCGTGATCCTGCCCCATCTTCTCACGGTGATCTCATTTTCTCGCCTCGGCCCTTCTCATCATATCACCACGGTCCTTCTTATATTTTCACCCTCGTCCTGCTGACCTTTTCGCTGAGATCTCGCTCACCCTCTCGCCGCTGTCCTCATCTTCTCACCGGCGGTACGACTCACCCTTCGCCCCAGTAGCGCTCACATTCTTAGTACGACCTTGCTCACCCTGTACCCGGGACTGTGCTCACCTTCTCGCCGTAGTCGCCCTCCACGGCCACCGTGCTGACGTACTCCCAGCGAGCTCGCGCACCACGTGCACCATGGCCTGTGCCTGCAGGTAGTCGGGCGGCACGACCCGCGAGAAGTACTCGAAGCGCGTCTTGTCCGACAGCTCGGTGCTGGTCGACGCATAGCTTGATCTGAGGGATCTGTGAAAGGCGCGCCGGGCGAGAGGGTAACAGTGAGGTTTTGTCGGGGCGGGGGCATGCGGGGTGGTGGGGGGGGGGGGGGAGGGCGCGTGGACATGGGGTGGGAGGTTCCTGGTCCTAGGCCTCGTCCGACTTCTCTGATGGGATGGGTACATGTAACATAGATGACAATTGTGCATGACGGCAACACACGACGGGTATAACGGCGACAGGATGATAAAGTGTACTTTTTGTCGCCGACGGGAATTTTTGCGGGGCAGATTGCCACCGGCAGCGTAACGCGATACCATATGGCATAAAATGGTAATGAAGACCCACGCCCAGTGGCGTCATCAAAATCAGCATATCGCCGAAAGCCCTTCATTCACAGCGAGTGTGCAGTATCATGCACAAACCAAAACGCTCAATTATGAAAATGTGCTTCAACTAATGTCGAGATAACTGCCTGCCTCGCCAGGAAAGCAGTCGCACCGGCCTTAGACTATGGGATAGCCCAATCACAATAGCAGTTTTCTTCCATCCTCGGGGCTTGCCGGGGTCTCACGTTTAGACGCGATCTACGGCTGGATTTACTTTCCTCGACCGCAAACAAAAACAACGAAGAGTCTCGGTAGCCAAGGCAGTTGAGGACATGGCGGAATTCGAACCGATGACAGCATCTGAGGATGACTTTTAATATGCGGGCTTTCCTCGAGGTCATGCCTCCTTACAAAAATCCTGTATGCGCTTCGAGCGCTATCTCAACCGTCATCAGACTCTCCACCCTACCTCAGACCATGCTCCAAGCCTGGCGCGACATATGTTGCCTGGCGGGCGCCTTTCGCTGTGCCCAAAAAAGTAAATTGTACTGCTGGATGGCTTCGGCACACGAGTTTATTTTTCGTCGGCGCATTTACAAAAGTGATAAACTTATACGCAGCACTATGCCATGCCATTCTTCTCAAATGACGCTATGCCATCCTGCCATGCCTAAATGGTGTCCAGTGCTGTTCACATGCTTCTTTAGTCAACCTCGCGCGCGTCTTGGTTTTAATTACTCTAAGACACTCGGGCGAAGGTGCAACTGACTGACAGCGGACGATAACATCGATATCACTGCGCCAAGGAACTCGACTAGGAGGGTAAACGCTCATCACTTACAAACTCGACGCTCCTGTCGCAGTGGGGACTGAAAATGGCAGGGAGGCAAAATGGCAGCCGAGGCCCACTCGCCAGCCGCCTTTTCAGGCCCGGCATACAGCAGTGCAATGCGGCGCAGCGTGACTCGGCGTCGTCATCGGCGCCCTGCTCACTTGTTGCGCGCGCAGATGCTGATTGGTGGAAAGTCCGCGCGATTTTTGTAAAGGAAACACTCCACATTTCGAGATATTAATGCAAACATCGGATGTCATGAAATAAGCTCACTTATAACTGTTGGTATGGTTTTTTCGTAGAAATGCCCGCTGTATGTAACGCAATTCCCATTTTTATTAAATATGCTACTCAATGTGTCATTGCTTGATTGCGTCATCGTAACCCGTACGACATTGATTGGGGCGCACTGACGACCGTTACATCTGGAACTCG